GAGTAGCTAGGCGCAGGTTGTTTGTTTTGGGTCGGGCCGGCCCCGCCCTCCGCCTCCCGCCAATGGGGAGCGTGCGCGCGGCGGTTGTGCGCGTGTGAGCGTGCGTGTGCATGCGCGCACGTGTGCTGCCCTGCCCGCCCGCGCCCGCACAGGTGTGAGCGCCCGGCCTCCCGCGGCCAGGAGGGGTCCCTGCGGCCCGAGGTCCCGGACGACTGGGCGAGAGCGCGCGCGGGGCTGGCTCCCCTGCGGGCCCCGGAAAGGACGCGCCAGGGCGGGGAGCAGGTACCTGGGCTCGGCCTGGGGCTCCGGGCGGAAAGCCGTGCGGCTGAGGAAAGCAACCCTCACCTAGTGAACACTGCGGTGCGGAGCGGCGGACATCGCCCAGGACGCGCGTCCTAGTGACCGCTCTCGGGAGCCACGGGCTGTGCCTCCTCCCAGTTTTTCCTTTCGACAAGTGGCTTTTCCCAGTACCTTCTTTTAATGAGTTAAAACACGGGTTGAAAAGTTAAGCGCCTTTTGGCATGACCTTGACTCTTGCCCCGAAGCTTCCGACTTTCACTTTCTTTTGTTTCGCTTTACCTAGAGGCTCCGAAGAAGGCCAGCCCGGCCCCCTGCTGGGGTGGCCTGCGTGTCTCCGTGCCACGCGGAGACCGGTCGTTCGGGCGCTTACCGAGCACCCGGCGCCCGGGAGGCGCCCGCAGCCCTGTGCGGTCCCGCTGCTCCGCCTCCTCTTGCACTTGTGCTGTGGCTTCAGTGGCACTGGTGTGCGACGTCCAGAAAGGGGCTCCTTCCCCGCACCAGGACTCTCGGCCTCGGTGCCCCCGCGCACCAGCGCCCTGGCCCCGGGAAGGTGCACTTCCAGTCCCCGCCTGCCACGCCGACGTTTCCTCCTTTTTCCTGCCTTTGTTGAAATCAGCAACGTGGCTGCGAGGACTGGGAGCTCATCTTTGATGTTTATTTTATTACTTTCCACTATTTGTGTAGAAAACGTACACAGTGCTCTCTTATCTTTATTTCGGGAGTTAGAAGCCATTGAGAATGAGGTGGGCGAGATGACAGACGCAGGGAGGGCTCTGTTATTTTGTGCTTGGGGGGACGATAGGGTTTGGAGATTAGGCTGACGTTTATTGTGTGGGTGCGGGCGCGTGGGGAGCGGGGTGGGAATGTGGGGCCCCCGGCCGGCCGGCCTTTGGCCCTGGAGGAGCCGCCGTGGAGGGCCTCTGCTGGGCTCTAACCCCGAGAATTGACGGTCCCTTGAATCTGGCGAGGGGAGTGGGTTGGGACAAGAAACTAGCCCCGTAAAGAAACATTGATTTGGCCGGGGATAAAAGACATTTTTAATGAATGCTACCCTCGTTTGAACTCGGGCTGGGCAGGACAGGAGGGTGCATGCCTGTGCTACGGGCGAGATAAGTCTGCGGAGGGTTGAAGCCCAGGAGGCCGGTGGGAGACTCCAGGCCGAGGAAGACTGGTGGGTGCAGGGAAGGGAGCCCACCCCGCCTCCAGCCCTACCTTCCAGGTTCTTCCCTCGCCCCGCAGCTGGTCCGGGCCCTCCCCTGACCTCGGCAGGACAGTGGTCTCAGGTCACTCTGGTCAAATTGGCTGCAGTCTTCGGGTCTGCAGCCTGGACAGATTTGGGCCGAGGGAGTGGGGTGGAGACAGGGCTCTCAGCAGGGAAACTCTTCTCTATTTTTCTAGTGACTCAGCCTTGGGAGGTGGAAATAGGTAGACTAGGTAGGTGAGAAGCTGCCTGCAGGCACCTGAGGGGACTTTGGAGAGGACACCCCTGTGAAAGAGTGGCTGGTGCTAGCTGCCCAGGGAGGGGTCAGGACCCTGGAGGTACGACACAGACTCCAGGAGGGCAGGCTTCTGTCTTTCTCCTTCTGGGCTGTAGTCCTCCTCATTTGCTGCCAATAGTCTGTATTTGTTTGCAGTTAAAACCAGAACTAAAACTGCTCTTTCGTTTTGCAGTTGATGTTGATATTATTACTATTATTACTATTATTATTTTTGAGACAGGATCTCAATGTGCAGTTCAGGCTGCCCTTGAATTTACTATGAGGCCAACGCTGGCCTTGAGCTGTCCGTGATCCCCCTGCCTCAGCTTCCCAGATGCAGGAATTATAGGCATGTGCCCCCACACCTGTCTGATGTTGATATTATTATCCTTAGCTGTTGTTTTACAGCCAGTAAATCATTGCCCTTTTGCAGATGTTAAGAGAAAACAAGACCGGATGGAGGGACTCTGTTTTCTGTATCTCTATCCAGAACACCCTCAAAGCTGGGGACCTGCCTAGACTCTGGCAACACACACAGACCAACATACGTACATACATGCACACATATGTACACATGCCAAAGCACACACACGTGCACACACACTGTTCACTGTTTGTAAGTTTCCCAGAAGTGCTTCAAGCATTCTGTTCCTCAATTCTCAATCTTTTGGCAATATGTTATTAATGGGTTAATAATAAATGTCAGTAGATGGAGCCTTGCCAAATACTTTAGGTAAGACAGACCCATTAATTAGCTCACCCCCTACTCTTTAATTTCCTTGGAGATGAGTGACTAAACCATGGCCAAGGATATAAGTTCATTTTTCCATGACTTTGTGGCCTCCCTAAAGTACTTTTAGAAAGAGGAAGATAGTGCATGTATCTCCAGATGCCAGAACAAGTTTAATTAACTGTGGGAGCTATCTGCTTTCCATAATTTGTAAATGGTTCACTGCCCCGCTTCCTAAACCCTAATTGGGAAGGAAAGAATTTAATTCCTGATCGACCTAAGGGGACTTGGTAGGCTGCAAGTGGCCTCCCGCTGGAAATATGGGTGGCTTGTTCTCTGTGTTAGAAGAGCAGGCCGCCCACTGGCCCCGGGAACCACACAACCATCCTGATAACACCGTACACCTGGCAACCTGGAGAGATGGCTGAGTTTCTTGTTAAGTTCTACTGGTGGCCAGACTGTTGACCTCTGGATCCTAAGAGAAGGTAATAAGACAGCCTTCCCCTGGAGATCTGTGCTCTGGAAATCAAACAATGCTATTACGTGCTGAGAGGCTGGAGGCATTGAGAACTGTCTCATGTTAAGAGCCTTTGAGTCTGTGGGAGTCTCTCTTGGAGCAGGGAGAAAACCCTGGCCAGGGGCTGGGGTCGGGTGCCAGTGCAGGTCC